AGCACGTGTTCACACCTTTTATCAGGTGATAATTAGATCATATTCGGATTATCTATTAATCCAATTATTTGACAGTAAATCATTAATGGATATCATTAAAGGTATTGGCTACTACCTGTCTGGATATATTTTGCGTGTAACATCAAAAATGATATTTAGTTACCTACAATTTCCGTATGAAATTGGGTCCCTGTCCGGAGATACATTTCGGAAATTAGTCTATGAAGTATCAATAATAATTTCTTATTGTTACTTTTTGCGGGTAATCGTAGCCAGTGCCATCAATAAAAGGAGGTGTACATGTAGGTTATACGTCAATGAAACAGCTACCAAACGATAAAAATATCCCAAAAGACATCTTAAGTTCTTCAAGTTTAACAAGATGTGTTCACACAATATGTCCAACCCCAACTTGTGCAGATTCAAATAGATTTGTCTTTCTATGTTGTGATGTTTCACTATTGTTTCAGGTAGGGTGAAGGTTGGCGAAGGTTGGCGCCTATTAAAACGTTTAAACCCGCTGCATTTGTTTGCACCTGTCCTAAGCCAGGAACCTGATGTTCAGTGGTTGTCGTTTGTTGATGTGGTTCATAAGTGTTTCTTGTTTCTCGTTTCTCGTTTTTTATATAGATTAGACCGTTTGTTTTCCTGTTTGAAGGGTTTAACACTAGTCATTTTGGGACCCTTTATAGCTTGTTGTTCAGTGTGAGTCAAGGCTCCGTGTTGAAGGCCGTACTTTGACCTATAATTAATGGTTTACTTTTACAACATGTGACTTGGATGGAGAGTTGTCTCATTGGCACTCATACCACATCTTCTTATTCATAATGTTCGTGTTGCTCAGTCTTTAGTTTTCTATGTTGTGTTTTGTATACTATATATATGTGTCTTTTGGTCGTTTTTTAATTTTTCCATGAAATTGTCAGTTTGTTTTCAACTTATAAGTTTGAATATCCTTTTGATATCTTTCCCCTATTTTTCAAATATATAGCAGTCTTTAAGAACATGATGTATTTATTAGTTGTTGATGGCTTTGAGCTAGCTTTCAGTAAGTGCGAGTCCTCTATGATCGGCACTTTGTTTCTTTTGTCTTCATGTTATTTTTTTAAATGCTTTCTGTCAATCTAATGAAGAAATTTCCAACTGATTTTTACAGTCTGATCTTATTTTGTGCTATTACACCAATGTCCCATGCAGGTAAGGAGAGTTAAACACGTTTAACCCCGCCACATTCTATATGTGCCTGTCCCAAGTCTGGAGTCAGTAATTCAGTGGTTGTCGTTGGTTCATGTCTGTCATTTTTTATCTCGGTGGTCTTGTGATAGCGTGCTCGCCTCGAGTGTGGGAGGCTGTGGGGTTCTAACCCTCGACTGATCAAACCAAAGGATTGAAAATACGTATGGCCGGTATAGAATCAGAACAATGTGTTATATATATAATTTGCTAAAAAAAGCCATCCATCATCATGTCTGTCATTTTTGTTTTCCGTTTATTGTTTTGTCATAAATCAGGCCGTTGGTTTTCTCGTTTGAATTGTTTCACATTTTGTCATGTCGAAGCCGTTTATAGCTGACTATACGGTATGGCTTTTGCTCATTGTTGAATATCGTACGGTGACCTTTATTTGTTTTTATTCAAAATCCGCTGACTAGCATTTGGTCTCTGTTTGTTAAGATTCATAGTGTATGGCCGAACTCAGTAAATATCCGCCCAATTTCCTTTTAAAAGAAAACGTTAACTTAGTTACCGTTACTGTGATGATGTTTTTTCTTTGAATAATCAAGAGATTTCTAATTAAACTGCATAAATTTATCCCAGTGAACTTACTTTAAATAAATTTGATAGTAACATCAATAACAACATGTCTGTTTCTTAAATTGGAAATTTAGGTCCACAAATTCACACGGGACACCTTATTCTAAAATTTGCGACAAAAGAGACTTAAATATTTGTTTCATATTGTTAATTTTCCTTGTTTTGGACGGTGCATGATGTTCCTTTAACCATTTCTTACGGTGTGTATATTTCTCAACTCGTTCGTTAAACTCATTTCTGTAGGGATGATTTAGATTTCAAAGAAAACCGAAAAAAACATTTTGTCAGAGGTTTCGTGAATATACCACAGTTACTTAAAACATTTACTGAATTCGTAGAAAGATACGAAGATTTGGTTTGAAATTTTGGATGTTCCTGTAGTTATCTAATAACAAATGTATATTGGATATAACACAGGGATGGATCCAGAATTTTTCAGGGTGTGTCACTAAAACGAACTTTCAAAATATTTCATTTTTTATTCATATTATTACGGTAGTAACACAACAAATGGTAACACATGGATCATTACAAAAGTGATTCAAATTTCATTTTCTTTGACCGCCTCGGTGGTCTTGTGATAGCGTGCTCGCCTCGAGTGTGGGAGGCTGTGGGGTTCTAACCCTCGACTGATCAAACCAAAGGATTGAAAATACGTATGGCCGGTATAGAATCAGAACAATGTGTTATATATATAATTTGCTAAAAAAAGCCATCATCATCATCATCATCATCATCATCATCATCATCATCATCATCATCATCATCATCATCATCATCATCATCATCATCATCATCATCATCATCATCATCATCATCATCATCATCATCATCATCATCATCATCATCATCATCATCATCATCATCATCATCATCATCATCATCATCATCATCATCATCATCATCATCATCATCATCATCATCATCATCATCATCATCATCATCATCATCATCATCATCATCATCATCATCATCATCATCATCATCATCATCATCATCATCATCATCATCATCATCATCATCATCATCATCATCATCATCATCATCATCATCATCATCATCATCATCATCATCATCATCATCATCATCATCATCATCATCATCATCATCATCATCATCATCATCATCATCATCATCATCATCATCATCATCATCATCATCATCATCATCATCATCATCATCATTATTTGTCTTTGATTTCTGCAGCGCGTGGTCAAATCAGGACGAACATTCGGCTTGAAAATAGGTTAACGATTTTACGGCAAACGACCTCATATCCCATGCACGATATATTTCATATCAAACCAGGCATATTTCTTATCAAACCAGGAGGCCAATACACCAGTGAGTCTTGGATGCCCTAAGATTCAGTCTGGTGTATAGCTCATTATGTATTGCTAAAAAACTATAAATGTATGATTTTATACGGTTATTGTGTTATAAGAATTTATATATGTAACTAAATATCTGAAATTATTTAAAATTAGGGGACATATCTCCCTAAGGTACCGATATAGCTCTGATTCCTTGTCCAGCTTTGCATGCTTTGGTTATACTTTTTGTCCTTCTAGCTCTTCAATTTGTTAACAAGTTTTGGATTTCAAAGTATTTTGGATTCGAGCATCACTGAAGAGACATTTATTTTCAAAATGCGCATCTGATGCAGTAAAAGGGATACCGTTTAATTTATTACTAGTATTACCACTGGGTCCGCGATACCCCTCAGTGCTGGTGTGCTGTTAGTCCACGAGGATATTCAGGGGAGGATCCAGCCAGTTATAAAAGTGGGGTTCCTAACCCAGGATAAAGGAAAGGGGGGGTTCCAACTATATGTCCCCATCCAAATGCACTGATCGTCAAAAAAAGGGGGGTCCCAACCCCCGGACCCCCTGGATCCGCCACTGATATTATTAGCCCAGTAGCCAGTACTTCGTTATCAACATTTTCTGTAAAGTTACTAAATTTTTTGAAATTGTTTTAAGCTAAAGAATATATGTGCCTATGCATAGCTCTAATTCATTGCCCGGCTTTGGTTATACTTTTTGTCCTTTTTGGTTGATTAGCTCTGCAATTTGTTGATAAGTTTTGGATTTCAAAATATTTTGGATTCGAGCATCACTGAAGAGACATTTATTTTCAAAATGCGTATCTGGCGCAGTAAAATGGATACCGTTTAATTTATCACTACCACTCAGGCACTGGGTCGATACCCCTGCTGGTGTACTGTTAGTCCTCGGGGTATCATCAGCCCAGTATTCAGTAATTCGTTATGAAAATTTAATGTAAAGTGTTACTAAATTTTTGTCCCCCGCGCACGTTTTTGTTGGGGGACATAGAAATACCGGGCGTCCGTTCGTCTGACCGTTTGTCCGTCCGTCCGTCCGGTCTTGTTAGCGCTCTCACAGGTACAACTCTTGCCAGATTTTTATAAAACTTATACCTTAGGTTAATATCAGCAATCATGATCTCGTACAAGTTCTATAATGGTGGCCGATCGACTTTTTTAAAGAGTTATGCCCCTTGGAAATATCAAATTTATGGAAAATTTTCTCGTTAGCGCTCTCACGGGTACAATTCTTGCCAGATTTTTATAAAACTTATAGTATACTATAAGTAATGCCCTTAATTTTGAAGGTCTGTTTGAAATGTAATTTATTTTCGTTAACAAGATAATCAGTCCAAGTCAAAAAAGGTCCTTTTTTTGTTGTTATTGCCCTTGTACCTTGGATAGATAAAATATGTGCAACGCGGGGGACATTGGAACTCTGTTCTTTTATTATAATCATTTTAAGTTAAAGAATATATTTCACTCAGGCATAGCTCTGATTCTTTGCCCGGCTTTGCCAGTTATACTTTTTGTCATTTCTGGTTGATTAGCTCTTCAGTTTGTTAATAGGTTTTGGATTTTCAAATATTTTGGCCTCGAGCATCACTAAAGAGACATTTATTGTCGAAATGCGCATATGGTGCAGTACTGAAAATTTGTACCGTTGAATTCATATTCTAAATCTATACAAATAAAAAAGAAAGAAAAAAATTGTTTTGATTTAGTCAAGGATTTATATAGTAAGATGCATTTTAAATATGTCCTGACATAATATAATAGTCCCAGGACCTATATATCCATGCAATAGTCCGGCCCAGATATTTTCAAACTTTAGTAAATAAAATCTTACCTTTAATCACCTTACTGAAAATTTGTAAACTTCCGATCACAAGATGGCAAGCGATACTTGGTTAGTTATTTATAATATAGCCCACAAAAACTATATTTAAAGACCTTTCACCTAATCCATTATCCTCCTCAATGATAAGAAGAAGAATCGTCTAGATAGACATTCCGTTTCTTCCGTTTTAAAAATGACCAGTCTTAAAAACAGAAGGGGGGGGGGGGGGGGGTGGGCATTATTTATGGAGGGTGTGGAAAGTCTTTTCAGAATAGAGAATAATGGGCAAAAAAAATAAAGAATAGAGAATAATGAGGTCCTTAAATGTAAAGAATAGAGAATAATGGGCAAAAAGTATAAAGAATGGAGAAAAATAGAAATGTAGGACCCCAATTTTCAGACCCTCCCAAAAGGTTCGGTCATAAAAGTAAGAAAGCTCTTGAAACCGACAAATATATATGTAAATATGTGTATAAAACATCACAATATAACACAAATTAAGTTGAGACAAGCACACATAAGCATAGGATTTAGCACCCATATACAATAAGCACCTATTATATATGTCATGGCATAGAATAAGCGTCATATATGAATTTATAAGGTACACATAAACATCAAATAGAAAAGAACAGGATATGGATCAAAAGAACTTTGAAACTTTAAAATGTCACTTAAATGCATAAATAATGATTTAAAACAAAGCAGTGAGGTATTAACAAATTAAAAAAAATCACATAATTAGAAGAAAGTATTTATATTATTATGAGCATATTACAAGACATGTATCCAATAAGTAGGTAGCAAAAATGTAAAACACACAGAGAAAGCAAAAAACCAGGAATGTGATTCAGCTATGAGACCACAAAGTTTGGTATTTACAGGCACTGCAGAAACAGTCTTGTCCACTACACCAGCTATAAATTGAATTTTTATATGACTGCAAAAAATTTTGCGGTCGTATATTGGTATCACGTCGTCATCGTCCGGAGACATTTGGTTTCCAGACAATAACTTTAGTATTAGTAAATAGAAATCTATGAAATTTAAACATAAGGTTTATAACCACAAAAGGAAGGTTGGGATTGATTTTGGGGGTTATGGTCCCAACAGTTTAGGAATTAGGGGCCAAAAAGGGGCCCAAATAAATATTTTTCTAGTTTCATGACAATAATATATAAATTCAAATCATATAACCAATTCTAAGTTCTTTGACTACAGTTATTCTGTGTCAGAAACCTATTATGTGTCAAATATTGAATTACAATCCAAATTCAGACCTGTATCAAGCACAAATATTGTGTCCATTTTTGCCCCTACGGTTCAGGGTTGGACCTCTGCGGTCATATCCAGCTGCGCTCTGCGAAGCAATTTATTAAAGTTGTCATATGAGAAAATGTTATTTAAAAGCGCATGTGTTATTATCCAGATTATGATTTATATGAATACAATCCCCCTTTTACATGGAATGCCATTACAGTTTGAAATTGAGTTGAGATGTGACCAAAACTACTTTAAACTCAGAATTTTAGTTTCATTTTAAGAAAAGATGTAATTTTGGAAAATATGTTTATGTGTATTTTGGAAAATTGGTAAAGAATCTTCTCCAGAGTTACAATTAATATTCAAGATATTCAGAGGTAAAATTATATAATTAAAGCTAACACAATACCTGTCTTGAAGTGAAAATCAGATTTTGACCCATTTGAAAAATTTTGTCATAACATTATAATTTTTTGCATATTTTAAAATCAGCGTTTGAATATCTTTGCTGTAATTGATTTTTTTAGGTTAAAAGACTATGAAGCCTGTGCTAGTGTTGGACAGGAACTTATGGTTTTGATCAATGATAGAAATAAAAATGGTCGCACAAGTTCTACATACACAAAGGTAAACAATGTGTGTAAAGATGCTAAGGTTAACTTTAGTATAAATGCTTTAAAAAAGAGGTGGAAGAAACCAATGGGACATTTAAAAGTCAGAAGTCAAAGAAAAGACTGACAATGCCATGGCAAAAAACAATGTAAAGACTGACAATGCCATGGCAAAAAACAATGAAAAGACTGACAATGCCATGGCAAAAACAATGAAAAGACTGACAATGACATGGCAAAAAAAATAATTAAAAGACTGACAATGCCATGGCAAAAAACAATGAAATGACTGATAATGCCATGGCAAAAAACAATGAAAAGACTGACAATGTCATGGCAAAAAACAATGAAAAGACTGACAATACCATGGCAAAAAACAATGAAAAGACTGACAAATCAACAAAATACAACATAGAAAACTAAAGAGCAACACTAAACCCACACAAAACTAGGGGTGAACTCAGGTGCCCCAGAAGAGTTAGCAGTTCTTGCTCCACATGTGGCACCCATCGTGTTGCTCATGCAAGCACAAATCCAATTATATGTTTCTTTCTGTGATACCAGTGAAGGTGTCCTTAAAACTTTCAGAGGGATGAACCCTTGAACCTTTGGTTTCATTATTGTCCTTGTAACAAGCAACTCTCAATCAAGGAAATGTATTATCATGATAGGAAAAGCAAGCTCTGGAATGTTGCTAATTAGAAATGGAAAGTTCACAATTTGGAGGATGGAATCATCTCTTTTGTTGTAAAAGTTTTGTTCTCAGCCAACCCTCGTCAATTTCTAGATGTACATGTAAGTCAAGATATGGCAGATTTCATAATGTCAAAAATATATTAGTTAAAGGACCATTTGCTGTTAACCCCTTATGAACTGATAGTGATTTCCTTTTATTAATCATGTTTAACACTACCAGGTTTAAAATTAAGAAAAAAATGTAAGTGATAATGTAGTTTTCTGCAAAAAACATTTATTTATAATTTTTGCAAAAATACAGTTAAAATCTACAGGATAACAGCTAGGCATTTATCTTACAAAAGGATTGATGAAAGGAAGTTTGAATTAACCTTTTCGACCATAGGTGGTCACATCTGTGATTGCGATCATAACTAAAGAGAAGACAATTTCATTAATTATGTTCTTTTCTAACTTGAAAAGCTGAGATAAGCATGTAAGGTTAGGATCATCACAATTATTTTCAGAAAAAAAAACTATACGTTAGAGAAGATAAGAATTATAAAAACATGTTTTTGATGATTTTTATGCCCCACGCCGTAGCGGTGGGGGCATTAAGTTTTACCCTTGTTCGTCTGTATATACGTACGTCCGTACGTCCCTAAATTGGTTTCCATTCTCTAACTTGAGTTTTCCTCAACCAAATGTTATGAAACTTATACGCAATGCTTATTACCACAAAACACAGATCAAGTTTGAATTTTGGTGGCGTCACTTTGACCGTTCTAGAGTTATGCCCCTTTATAAATGGAAAAATTGAAAAATTTTTAGTTTCCGTTCTCTCACTTAAGTTTGCCTCAACCAAATGTTATGAAACTTATACACAATGCTTATTACCACAAAACACAGATCAAGTTTGAATTTTGGTGGCGTCACTTCAACCATTCTAGAGTTATGCTCCTTTATGAATGGAAAAATTGCAAAATTTTTATTTTCTTCTAAATATCGAGTAATTATACGACCGCAAAAAAATTTTTGTGGTCGTATATTGGTATGACGTTGTCGTTGTCGTCCGGCGGCGTCCTAAGACACATTGGTTTTCGCACTCTAACTTTAGTTTAAGTGAATGGATCTCTATGAAATTTTACCACAAGGTTCAATACCACAAAAGGAAGGTTGGGATTGATTTTGGGGGTTATGGTACCAACAGTAAAGGAATTAGGGGCCAAAAAGGGGCCAAAAATAAGCATTTTTGTAACTTCCAGACATAACTTGTGTGTTAGTGTATGGATCTCTCTGACATTGTACCACAAGGTTCCATATCACAAAAGAAATGCTGGGATTGATTTTGGGGGTAATTGCCTCAAAATTTTAGGAATTAGGGGCCAAAAAAGGGGCAAAAAACAAGCATTTTTCTAGTTTCATGACAATAACTTGTGTGTAAGTGTATGGATCTTTCTGAAATTGTAGTACAAGGTTCCATATCACAAAGGGAAAGCTGGAATTGAGTTTGGGGGTAATTGCCGAAACGTTTAGGAATTGGGGGCCAAAAAGGGGCCAAAAATAAGCATTTTTCTAGTTTCCAGACAATAACTTGTGTTCAAGTGTATGGATCTCTCTGAAATTGTACTGCAAGGTACCATACCACAAAGGGAAGGCTGGGATTGAGTTTGGGGGTGATGAATCATAAGGGGGTTCAAAAAATTGGGGGGGGGGGGGGGATTTTTTTTTTTTCCTTTTTTTTTTCTTTTAAAATTTTCCATTTTAAGTTGGTTATTTCTGATTTATATTTAAAAGCAAATAATAATGATATGGTAGGAGATACACACCAAACAGGATGTGTAAATTATTATATAATAAGTATTGTGCAATAGCAAGAAATTTTCAATTGCACAGTATTGCACAATAGCAAGAAATCTTCAATTGCACAGTATTGCGCAATAGCAAGAAATCTTCAATTGCACAGTATTGCGCAATAGCAAGAAATATCCAATAGCACAATATTGCGCAATAGCAAGAAATTGTCAACTGTACAGTATTGCGCAATAGCAAGAAATATTTAATTGCACAGTATTGTGCAAAAGAAGATACTTCGTATAAATTGCTTATTTCTTGACCAATTTCAATGGGGTTTTATTCTTGAATTCTTGGGGTTCTTTAATATGCTGAATCTAACCCTGTATTTAGTTTTTTGGATTTTGGGCCCCGTTTTTAAATTGGTCCACATTGAGGTCCAAAGGGTCCAAAATTAAACTTTGTTTGATTTCATCAAAAATTGAATTATTGGGGTTCTTTGATATTCCGAATCTAACCGTGTATTTAGATTCTTAATTTTTGGTTCCGTTTTCAAATTGGTCTACATTAAGGTCCAAAGGGTCCAAAATTAAACTTAGTTTGATTTTAACAAAAATTGAATTCTTAGGGTTCTTTGATATGCTGAATCTAAACTTGTATTTAGATTTTTGATTATGGGCCCAGTTTTCAAGTTGGTCCAAATCGGGGTCCAAAATTAAACTTTGTTTGATTTCAACAAAAATTGAATATATGGGGTTCTTTGATATGCTGAATCTAACCATGTATTTAGATTTTTGATTTTTGGGCCCCGTTATCAACTTTGTCCACATTGAGGTCAAAAGGGTCCAAAATTAAACTTTGTTTGATTTCATCAAAAATTGAATTCTTGGGGTTCTTTGATATGCTGAATCTAACCATGTATTTAGATTTTGGATATTGGATCATAATAGGTGAATGTCCAATTTAAAATTTTTAAGTTCTTAGACCACATTCATTCTGTGTCAGAAACCTATGCTGTGTCAATTATTTAATCACAATCCAAATGCAAAGCTGTATCAAGCTTGAATGTTGTGTCCATACTTGCCCCAACTGTTCAGGGTTCGACCTCTGCGGTCGTATCAAGCTGCGCCCTGCGGAGCATTTTATTTTTAAAATTGAAATTATCTTCCTTTGTCCATGATTATAGTTGAATAAACTACAATCAATGCTTTATACAATACAATGTTTAATTTTGACTTTCACTGATAAAACACAGATCAAGCTGAATTTGGGTAGTGTCACTTTAACCATTATTGAGTTATGCCCGTTTATAAATCGAAAGATTGCAAAATTTTTAGTTTCCATTCTGTAACTTAGGTTTGCCCCAACCAAACATTATGAAACCTATACACAATATTCATTACCACAAAACTAAGATCAAGTACAAATTTTTTGTTTCAGTTTTATAACTTTAGTTTGCCTAAACCAAATGTTATGAAACTTATACACAATGCTTATTACTACATAATTCAGATTAAGTATGAAATTTGGTGGGGACACTTTTACCATTCTTGAGTTATGTCCATATATAAACATAAAAATTGCTGAATTTTTTGTTTCCGTTCTCTAACTTTAGTTTGTCTCAACCAAATGTTATAAAACTTATACACAACCGTTCTGCGTGTTTACGAATAGAAAAATTGCTGAATTTTTAGTTTCTGTTCTCTACTTAAGTTATCCTCAACCAAATGTTATGAGACTTACACACAATGCTTATTACCACAAAACTCAGATCAAGTTCAAATTTGGGTAGCGTCACTTTAACCTTCTTCAGTTATGTCCCTTTATAACTATATGATATGCAAACGGGGGCACCATCTGTGTCCACATGTGGACACTATCCACATTTATTTTTTATATTTCAGCAAAATGCCAAGATATAAATGAATATTTTTTTAATTTATCAAGATTTTCCAGGAAAAACACCCATGATTTTGCTGTGAAATGTTTACATAGACATTATTCTGAAGCTACAATAGCAATGAATCAAAGCCTCAAGTTTGGTAATTCCAGATTTTTTTTCTATTTTTTAGCTGTCAGCACAAATAAGAGTTAAACTGAAAACATTCTCAAATGAAGTCAACAAGCTGAAACAGAATTTAATAAGAGCATCATCATCATATCATATGTATCCTTTGGTTAATATTATTCAATAGTATAACAAGTGTATTTCAGTCTACCAGTTATAGTACAATGTACAATGTAAGTTCAGTGTGTGTGTTTTCATTAATTCAGATTGTTTGTCATTTATACCCTCTTTTGGAAATATACTATTTTATTTCATTGACTCATCGGAAAGGAGTGGGTCTGGTAAGACACCTTTTTGGCCCCAAAATATAGCATTTTTACAAATTTGTTAAAATGTCAACTTTTAGCTATTTATTGGAAAGTAGAATACTTTTGTTACATAAATATGGGCTTTTTTGACAATACAATGTACATGCATCAGGTACTAGCATCGTTATTTCATGCAAAGTTACTGAAATCTTCACAATTTTAGCATTTTGCTAATTTTTAGACGGTTTTTGTCTAAAATGGAAGTGGTCGCACTTGTGTTCAGTCGTAATATTTAAATATACATTGTATTTGATGATTATACATAAAATATATAAAGGTTGAGACCAGAGGAGGGACAACACCTAGGTGCTGTGTGCAATTTTTTTTCAGGTCACGTGGTACGATTTCAGCTTTTGTTTGGCAATTTCAAATATTGAAAAAAGATCGATTTGTTCATGTTTTGATATCAAATGTACTCTATTGCATTTATAAAAAATATAGCAAGTTTTCTCATAGAAAGATTTAATGATGATCAAAAATGATTTTTGCATAAAATATTTAATGTTTTTTTATTTCATTTTGGTAAATTATATCATTAAAGATTATGTCCCATAATGGCGGGAATTTGCATTCGATCTCTGTTAAAATACAAGGCATAAATTTTTGTTAATATTTTGTTAATTCGAATGTAAAAATTATTGACATTTATACCAGTTAAAAAATATTGTTCAAACAACCTTGGATATAAAAGGTCTCCTTAAGTCTCCATCCGTTGCTGCATAATAAGTCGATAAACAATGATTTTCAAATAAAATGTCCAAATATATTGGTCAAATCCGTGAATAAATACGTAAAAATTAGGCACAAAAACCATTGCTCTTTGTATTTTAATTATATTAAAGACAAAATGAAAATTTTTCACCAGAAAAACCATGTAAAATAGCTTTTTAATTTTTTTGTTTTGTATTTTTTTGTGTATCTGTTGATCGGCTTGCACTGTCTTTTGTGTTTTCTCGTATTTTTTGTACTGATAATGAAATCCCAATATTTATAATTTCGTGTTTAATAAAATTTTGTCCCAAATAAATTAAATAAATTCAATTAAAGAGTATTCAATTAATTTACATGCCGTACGAAATAAGTCCACGGGAATTAGCAGAGTTAATAAAGGGATATACATGTATATTCCAAGCAAATAATGACAATTACCAAATTTGTTTATTATAAATACATGTAGGAGTATTGTATAATAATTACAACAGTATATTACTGCTTGAGTTTATAATCTCATTCAACAAATTTTTAGTGTCCAGGTGATGTTCACACCATGACATGCTTATAACAAATGACACATTATCACTGCGACCCATCGATAATATAAGACAAATCTGCGTGCCGTGTGCAGAGTGTCATCCCTCCTCTAGGTTGAGACTGAACATAAATGAGGCCACTTACATTTAAAAAAAAAACCATCTGAAATGTGACATTTTATGGAATATTTGATAGATTTTTCATATTTAATCTTGAATTTGAGCGCCTTTAATAACCATATCAGTTCAAAACTTTTACATAAACTAATTGAATCGACTGAAGTAGGCACTTAAGTGTTAAAAAAATGTCAAAAATCTTTCATCAGATGTACTTCAAATTTTAGTCCAAAATTAGCCCTTATTGTACCTAATCCTTTCAATGCATGAACTGGAGTGACAAATATTATTGTCTGAAGGGTTTTATATTTATATTTATATCTGTTACTTACAGATGCAAATTTTTCAACTTATAACTTATAATTCCTACATTAGTAGCCTTAACTGTAATTATTAGAACACAGAGAGAAGTTGAACGTAGACAGATGTTGATTGATAATTTAATTACTAAAGAAAAACAGATCAATGAAGCTTTTAAAAATGAAGGTAGTACGTCTAGGTAAGTAATTTAAATTAAAAACTTCAGTTTCTGTTAAGTTCAAATTGTTTAAATTGTTATCAGTGATTTACTTTTCCCGATTTGCATCAAGGATTCCAAAAACAATTCTGACAGTTTTGGATAGTTATTTTTACACCCTTTTAGATATAGGTAAGTGTGTAATCATACTACCAGGAGAGGTGAGGACAGTGTCATGATTTATTTTTTAACAGATTTTATTCAATTTTCAACAATCTTTTGAAGTAAGTGGACTTCTGTTCGTATATATGATATCATTATTGGGGTATTAATTTCAAAATCCAAAATTATGCATATAATCGAACTTTTTTGGAAACAGTGGTTTTGTGTACAAGGTAGTGTCTTTTACTCTGACCACAGCAAGAGCATGCAAGCCACAGAGTTCAGTAGAATCAGTACTATATAAGAGCTAACTTAGCTTGATTAATGAAGAACCTCAAGTAGTTTTTATCATATTCGTGGCCTATATGTTTTCATACAGTTGTCTCTTAATCCATTTGTCATAGTTGATCCAATTTTTCAGCACAGATTTTTTTATTTCAGCAATAAGCTGATGGGTACCGATACTTTTGGTAGTAATGATCCTTGGGGTGTAAGAGATGAACCTGAAGACTTCCAGGGAAGATCCAATACTGAAGTTAGATCACAACAGCAGCAAATTATTCAACGTAAGATCTATTAGTTGTTCTAACAAAAATCTCTAAGAGACTGATTTATCTTTCTTCAAATGGTTTCAATAGTCTCATGGCATCATGCTCCTCTCTAGTGAAGGAGGTCCTCAGGCGCGTAGTTACGTTTACATCAAAACGCCCGGGCGTACACATAAATTTTAGATAAAAAATATTTTAATCTAAATAAATTAAAAGATCTGGTTAAAAACCTTTTAATTCTTTCCTCTATGACTTGTAATTGAAGAAAGAAGTGACGAAATTTACTTTTAATCAAATGGTATCATATTATTAGTCCCCTACTGGCGAAGTCGAAGTGGACTTTAGGTTTGCACTCTGTCCGTCTGTCTGTCCGTCCGTCTGTCCATCCGTCAGTCCGGCAAATCAGCTTTCCGCACTTTTTTCTTCGTTCTTGAAGATATTGATTTAATATTTGGTATATAGTTTTGCCATGACAAGTTATATATCAAGTTCGACTTTTGTTCCGGTCAGATGATTTAGTCCAGAGTTATGGACCATAACTCTGGGCCATATCTAATGTTGGAGTACTAAATGTATGTTAAACCATATTTCTGTACAAAGGGAGATAACTAATTTTTTAAAAGACATTCTTTGGTAAATTATTTGAAGAATTTTTTGGCAGGTTGTTTGTTATTTTGTATAAACTAATTTTCTGAATGCTATATATATATATTATATAAAAAAAATTATGAAGTGAAATCCTTTAATTAGATAATAATCTATTTTTATTATAAATGTATATATTACATTACATTGTGTAGATAAAAATTGTTGACATTTTATAGATAAGTTACAAATCTATATTAGTTTGTGACAAATAAAAGAAAAAATATTTGGAACTATTAATTATATTTGATTTTAATTTGAAAATAGATATACACTGTATTACATCATATCTAATTTTAGAGAATTATTAATCATATTAAATGTTAAAGTGTTTTCCACACTTTTTTTCATCATGCTTGAAGATATTGATTGATAATTGGTATATAGTTTAATCATGACAAGTTATACAGATCAAGTTCAAAATTTTGTTTCGGTCTGATAATTTTGTGCAGAGTTATGGTCCTTGGACTTGAAAATTCACTCATTTAATCAGTTTTCCTCACTGTTTTTAGTCATGCTTGAAGATATTGACTTGATATTTTCTTTTTGTTTACACCATGACAAGTTATAGAACAAACTAGCTTTTTGTTCCAGTATAATGAATTTTTACCCGGTAGGGGACTATGTATTGCCATGCAATACTCTCAGAATGCTTGTTTATACATTAATTTTGTTTATTTTCTGTCAAAGTGTGAATATTGAGCCTGTGACCTTTATATCACCGATCTTAGATTCTGTCGGCGTCGGCGTTGTCAACATTTAGGTGTGGAATGTGCATGGTTAAAGTTTGTTTAAGCATTTAATAACTTTGTCAAACCTTCATGGAATGTAATGAAATTTGGACAGAAGCTTTTTTATGACCAAAAGATAGTATCCAGAGCATAATAAAAATGTATTTTTTCCGTATTTTACTGATAAAAGGACTTTTTTTTTGCAGTTAATAAGTAAATACAGTAAGATAGTCTTAAGGTTAAAGTTTGTTAAACATCAATTACTTTGTACATGTCAAACCTTCATCAAATTTTATGACAATTTGGCAGAAGCTTTTTTATGATTAAGAGATAATGTCTGAAGCAAAATTTGAAAGTACATTTTTTTCTTCATTTTTCTGTGTTTTACTGACAGACGGACTCATTTTATTTTTATTTTTTGCAATTAACAGACTGGATTACATTTTTGTGACATGTTAAATCTTTATACCTTCATAGATTGTTATGAAACTTGGATATCAGCTAATTGTTCAATTTCATAAAAAGCATCGGAATAAAAAGTTTGGTTTTTTTCTTAAAATTCCGCTTTTACACTGACAGTAGCAATCCCAGGCGAGACACAGGCCTTACACATTTTTATGTTACACCTGACCACCTATAAACATTAATCAGTTCCTGTGTCCATAAACAAAATTTGTGCATAAAAATGGGAGAAAATAAGATGAAGTTAAAATAATTAATAGAACGACAACATTGAAATGGAAACTCTTTGCTTTTTGGGATTTTTGTCGATTGCTTGTGTTTAATCCCACATCTCCCTTTAAACATATTATAAAGTGACTGGGTTGGACATTTTTCTCTGAAACCTATGACCATTAGATTCCAAATGAACACAATAACTGATAAATTAACAAATTAGACTCTAAAGTATGTTACTATTGATGAGTTTTTTATGACAAATTTATTTAAAATGATATTTCTTTCTCAATAACGAGTCAGCTTCCTGGTGCTTCACCCCAACGAACCTCTTACCAGGAAGTCCTCTGACCTAAACCCGCTGGTGGCACTCAAGCCCCTCGCCAAGGTTCGGGCGTACACTTAAAAATGGCCTAGCTACGCCACTGGTCCTAGGTTTAAAGAGCAAAGACTTGTCGGCCCGGATTCAGAATAATATTAAATGCAGGTGTTACATGTCTTTCTGCAGAGAGTTACCTTACGAACAAGCACATTTAAAATCCTGCTAAAGCTTGTAAGTTGAAAAATCTAAAATTCAACATCTTGAGTGGAGAACAATCAAAGGTCTCATGCAACAGAAGGAGATTCTATATATAAGCCATAGTGAATGTTTACATATTACACATATTTGATCCTGATTTACTGAAATCAAAGAGGCAGAGAGAGTGGTTTATGAAATTAATGCTAACATTTGAAAATTAACATGATTTGCATATGAAATGTTAGTTATATTTTGACACTTTCAAACTGGTAATTATCCAATCTTATTCAACAAGTTTTTCAGTTTTTCCTTAAAAGAAAGAATTGTTGAAGTGTGAACACTACTAAAAAGAGTTATTTATAACAGAATGAATTTGCAATCAAAAGAGATGGCCATAGCATCCCCTTTCTATGAATGAAAGCTTTAACATAGTATAATTTGGTATTTTTCAGAACAAGACAGAGGTCTAGAATCACTTTCTCATGTTATCACTCGGCAGAAACAAATGGCCATAGATATAGGTGATGAAGTAGATAGTCAGAATAGTGAGTATTGTTTCATCTTATTTCTAGATAAAACTGATGATCATAGAGGTAAACTGATGATCATAGAGGACAAACTAATAGATCATAGAGGGCAAACTAATAGATAAAACTGATGATCATGGAGGGCAAACTGATGATCATAGAGGACAAACTAATAGATCATAGAGGGCAAACTAATATATAAAACTGATGATCATAGAGGGCAAACTAATAGATAAAACTGATATCATAGAGGGCAAACTAATAGATAAAACTGATGATCATAGAGGTAAACTGATGATCATAGAGGACAAACTAATAGATCATAGAGGGCAAACTAATAGATAAAACTGATGATCATAGAGGTAAACTGATGATCATAGAGGACAAACTAATAGATAAAACTGATGATCGTAGAGGTAAACTGATGATCATAGAGGACAAACTAATAGATAAAACTGATGATCATAGAGGGCAAACTAATAGATAAAACTGATGATCATAGAGGTAAACTGATGATCATAGAGGACAAACTAATAGATCATAGAGGGCAAAACTAATAGATAAAACTGATGATCATAGAGGTAAACTGATGATCATAGAGGACAAACTAATAGATAAAACTGAGGATCATAGAGGACAAACTAATAGATAAAACTGATGATCAAAGAGGGCAAACTAATAGATAAAACTGATGATCATAGAGGTAAACTGATGATCATAGAGGACAAACTAATAGATCATAGAGGGCAAACTAATAGATAAAACTGATGATCATAGAGGTAAACTGATGATCATAGAGGACAAACTAATAGATAAAACTGATGATCATAGAGGACAAACTAATAGATAAAACTGATGATCAAAGAGGGCAAACTAATAGATAAAACTGATGATCATAGAGGTAAACTGATGATCATAGAGGACAAACTAATAGATCATAGAGGGCAAACTAATAGATAAAACTGATGATCATAGAGGTAAACTGATGATCATAGAGGACAAACTAATAGATAAAACTGATGATCATAGAGGGCAAACTAATAGATAAAATGAAAAGATTTAATTGCATAAAGGGTTAAATTTTGATTTTGAAATTGCGGCCATCAAATTCAAGTTTGCACAAGGTAACTATGTATTCAGTGACACATCTGTTAAATTTTGTACTTGGAACGTCATGAACATGAATAATCTTGACAACAACGATTGCTTGTACATGTATATTTAAATATAATTTTATCATTAATAGTAGATATTCAATAGAAAAAGGGCTTTTTAGCAATCTACAAGGGCAAACCTTTCTTTTTATAAATATGAACCAAACAAAAAAGAAATTGAATAGTGAAAGGGCTTGCAATATGACATTTAGGAAAAATAAGCCCAAATTGATACCACTGTTAAAAAATATGACTCTATATTATCTGTTTTGAAATAATTCAGTGTGTTTCTGTTTTCAGTATTAATTGATGACATAGGAGAGCATATGGATAGAACTGGTGAAAGATTAATAAAAGAAACAAGACATATAAAAATTGTAGATCGAAAGTCAAATACATGTGGTAGGTTGTTAAAAGTATGATTTTCCATTACAGATCCTAAATTGTGGTATCATTTTGTTGAAACATTTGCCTAATGAGTTCAGGTAAATTGTAATCAGTAGTGATGATTAACCTTTCTGGCTTTGAAACTTATTAAATTTTGTTTTTGTCAGAAAAGGTGAGACTTTTTCAATTTTACTGCTTCAACATGTTGATTTTTAAGTAATATTACCAAGTGCCAAACATAATTTATGTATTTTAGGTACAGGTTTTGCTTGATTGCCAAGGGACATTATTAATAGGTGAATCATTAAAAAAATACAATAAATGTAATTTCCAGTTCAAGGTATCTTTGTATCATATAGACAAATTTTGCAATATTCTTTTTACAGCTGCTAGTATTTTGTTTATTATAATTAATTTGCAAGATTCCAAACAAACAGTGCAGGTAAAAGTAAGCATTAAATTAGAATAATTTAATTTTGGATGTAACGAGTCTTCTGATTGGCTGAAAGTGTTTTGTCTATCAGCTCATAGACACAATTTTGTCATGTGACCGCGACGTCATCAACGTTTTTATCATTATTTACTCCTTTTTAGAATTAAATTATAAGGAATGACTTTAATATTTTTTTTCTGTCTATTCGAAATAACATAAAAAATGTGGTGCACACTTTTAAATAACCTGCTATGCCGGTTATTCAGTGTGCACCACATTTTTGATGTTATTTCTTCATAGACAGAAAAAATATTACAGTCATTCCTTAAATAACAAAAAAACTTGATCAGACCAAAAAGAGGAGAAAAATAATTAACACAAATCAACTTTGATGCAAATTTAAACGTAAGCATTCAGTATATCTGTACACTAATTCACTTCATTATATTTTGTAGGATACTGGGTAGCCATTGTGTTGTTGTTTATTGCTATAATAGTCATTGTTGCTGTGCCATACCATAACAAATAAAGATTGGTGAGTAAATGTTAGAAAGGAAGATAATCATATAAAAGTGGTATTTAAGTTAAAAGTAGTATAAATTAAAAGGATGCAAACTGGGGAATAAATGTAATCAGAAACCTCATTTGTCACAAGTGAGATAATCATTTCAAAAGGACAAGATGGTTGGGATTAATAAAATAACATGTTCAGAAACCACAGGTGTTAAATGATGAAAAATAAGCAAAAACCCAAATCTTGATGCAAGATGTAGGTTTTATGCATTTTTTAATTATTTCAATGTAACACAGTAAAAAATATGAACTATAGAAGTATTGCAATATAAGATTCAGACATTTATCTTAAATTTTTAAAATTCTGATTGGTATCGTGGGAAATGTGTGGGAAAAATTCATGGACAAAACATTTTTTCTCATTTTACACCACTTGAATGCAAAGCACAGAGAAAAAATGTAATCATAAAAAAATATGCTTATTTGTACATGTTCTAAAACATAGTGGGGTTAAACTATTTTTAGGGCCAAAAACCTCATTTTTCTCCATCTCAGATATTCCGTGTAGTGATGCATGAATATATAGGAATTTTAGACTAAGATAAATAATACAACAACACAACAACCTAAATTATCAAACAGAGACATCAAATGATAGATCAGGTGCTTGAACATATTAAAAAGAAGGCAGATGTTGTTAAAGAAAGCAGGAAAAATTACATCCAAATATACAGAAATATAGATCAAACCCTTATTACCAACAGCATTATGCTACCATATGGTTAAACCTTTATTTGTTTTTTTTTTCAGGTTGCATAAAGAGTTAGATGGAACTATGCAGAGCTTTATCCAAAATAGTGCAATTAAAAAACAAACTACATTATAAAGGACCAAATTATGAATGTGATAACTATTGTTTTATAATTCATATGTGTAATATAATTTATTATTTTAAATTTGTATCATTATTTTATGTAATTGAATCAAATATTGTCTTTACAATAGTTGAGTGTTACTGGTAAACGGGGTATCTCTTAAATCATGAAATACACCACAATGATGCAAGAACCAAAAAAATTATCAACAGAAAAAAATGAAAACTAAACACATAAATCTGCGATATTGGGTTTTATTTGTTGCCGTATAATGGAATGACGTCGTTGTGGTCATCCAAAGACATTTGGTTTCCAGACAATAACTTGAGTATAAGTGTATGGATCTCTATGAAATTGTACCACAAGGTTTCATAACACAAAAGGAAAGTTAGGATTGATTTTTGGGGTTATGGCCCATACCATTTAGGAATAAGGCCAAAAACAATACTTTTCTCATACTTTGTATAAGTTGCTAATTTCTTGACCAATTTCAATGGGGTTTGATTCAAAGTCTTGAATTCTTGGGGTTCTTAAATATGCTGAATCTAACTGTGTATATAGATTACGGATTTTGGACCCTGCATTTAAATTGGTCCACATTGATGTTGAAAGGGTCCAAATCAAACTTTGTTTAATATCGACAGAAATTAAATTCTTGGAGTTCTTTGATATGCCGAATCTAACTGTGTATTTAGAATTTTAATTTTGGGCCACATTTTCAAATTGGTTCACATTAAGGTCCAAAGGGTCCAATATTAAAGTTTGCTTGATTTCAACAAAAATTGAATTATTAGGGTTCTTTGGTATGATGAATGTAACCATGTATTAAGATTTCGGATATTGGATCATGATAGCTAAATGTTCAATTTCAAATTTTTAAGTTCTCAGCCCAAATTCATTCTGTGTCAGAAACATATGCTGTATCAAATATTTAATCACAATCCAAATTCAGAGCTGTATCAACCTTGGATGTTGTGTTCATACTTTCCTTTACTGTTCAGGGTTCAACAACTGCAGTTGTATGAAGCTGTCCTATGGAGCATTTTATTTTGTCATGTGATTCACTCACTTATTATGATTAATTGATTGTTGGTGGTGGTCAGTTTTTATTTGTGGAGGAAGATGGAGTGCCCAGAGAAAATCACTGAATATCGGTAGGAAAACTGACAATCCCAGTCAATAAAGATTGTAGTCAAGCACACCTGCCACGTGTGTGATTGAAATCACAACCTCAGTGTTGGCAGGCTAGTGATACAGTAGTTCGACTACTAAGACCACTCTGCTACTGAGGACCCTCTCACTTATTATGAGTAATAGGATAACTATATTTGGTATATATGGATCCTTGGAAGGTGTTCATGTCGATCAAACAGGGTTCACCTGACCATAACCTCTTTTCATGGATCAGTGATCAAGGTAAAGTTTTCATGGTCAAGTCTGATTCTTAGATACTATAAGCAATAGGTAACACAGTAAGAAAATGAATCCTTTTCATAATTTTAGCATACTGTTTAGCTACTTTGAAAAAAGAGTATAAACAAAAATAAATATGATAAGAGTCATAGTGGCCAAGTCTCCAGTACCAGTGTTCCTTGCTATACAATGAAGCGTTGTGATAGTGTATTGTAAGTTTTGTTGGGTCAGGAAAGGAAATGTCTGAAGAAGTATGGATATGCCTTTATCAACAAATCATTGTTTAAAAACTTTCAAAGAATATCAAGTACCGGTAATTGAAATATCAGTGTTCTAGACTTGGTAGGGATAGAGTGGTAGTTCTATGGCAGAAGGGAGATGTCATCTAGATTTCCACTCTGAAAACATGCCATTTAAACTCGTTGATTTACAATCTATACAATGAGGCAGTAATATTTGTTACAGAATTTTTCAACCATCCATTACATATCTAAAATAGCAATGGACAGTTCATTACCATCTATTCTCTCAATTCTCTCAATGGATATAAGGATTGAACACTGAAATGGTGTTTTTTTTTTTGTTTCTGGGCAATATCTTTTGACCATGTGACTAACATTCGCCAAACTTAACATGAGTATACTCCAGAAAGAATAAAACACATGTAAATTTTTGGTCAGTAGGTCAAAGGTTGAGGTCACAACCTTATGTTATACCTAAACTCCATCATTCAACATTAATTGCATATTTTACAGAGGGTGGTAAAGGGGGGGTGCTTGCACGGAAAAAACGTGAAATAAGACATAATTTCACGTTGAACGTGAAATAATTTCTGTCATGAACGTTGCACGAAAAATAAAGACTCTGATGTGAACCTTTTGTGACTGAGTCACTGTCTTCTTGTATATATAAACTCTCTGTTTTACTTGTTATTCCCGATTTAGTATACACATTTATGATATAAATGGTTTACGGCTTTTAAAAAAGTATTTCTTGACGATCCCTGCCAAGTGTTTGAATTTTATTTGAAAAATACCGAGCACGCAAAATAAGCATTTGAAAATCACGATGCACGTAAAATCAAATAAGCAGAACAAGTTGAACGAGGCACCTGTCTGGCACGACTGAACGTCAAATAAAAAAGTAAAAACATGTTGAACGTCAAATAAAAAACGGCAATCACATTGCACGAAAATAATCCTTTACCACCCTCTTTACAGTAGGTTAAAGGTTGAGGTCATAACCTTATATTATTATAACTTAAATCCATCATTCAACATTAATTGCATATTTTACAGTCTTCATCAATAAATTAGTTACCTACTCTAAATTCTGTATCTATTATAAAACTATAACAATTGAGAATTGGCTTGCACACTTCTGGAATATTTGTATACTAAACTAGGATATTCCTTTGTATTATTCTTGTAAATAACAGTTGTAGCTTCCAGAAAAGAATTTTTTTAACAAAACAAGTCATTGATTCCCTAGTGAGAAAGTATTTATGTCACTACTGTTTTGATATGACCAATTCCACATATACATTTACTGTAGAACAGAAACAATGAAATCATTTATATAAATAAGGAAAATATTCAACTGTCTTTTGTTGTAAGCCTTAAGAAAAGTATTTCAGATATATTTTTATCATACTTTTTTCTTTAAAAAGAGAAATATCTGGAAATAAAATCAGTATGCTAGACATATTCATTTTCTCAAGAAAACACATTACATAAGTTTGTTAATTTTGATTTTCATTAAAGATTATCCAAAATATGATACATCGGTAGACAGGGGAAAAGGAGGAACGAAAATGTTGTGAACAATAAAGATTATTTTTGTTATTAATATGGTTTCTTTAGAAAAATTGTAATGGCCAAACAGATAAAGGCTAAAATCAGTGAATTTTATATTTAAATATTTTAAGATCTGTAAATAAATGGCTTGATTGATTAAATATAAATCAATAGATAATTTAAATCTCTGATTTATCTGATTTTCATACCTTAGTTTCTACACATTACTATTCATGTCTCTATTATAACAAGCCATTAAAAAGAACAAATATCATTATGTCAACAGAGCATACTGTGTATATTGTAATTCAGATATGAAAGCATAAAATTATTTTGGTATTAATTTCTGAAATGGGAACTTCACATTCAGTCCCAAATAGTCAGGTCCCTATTGGATGTCAGCTCTGTCAGGGTAGAAATAAAGTTGAGTGGAAATGTGTGAACTGTCAGTTTTTAATGTGCAGCAGTTGTAAAGACAACATTCATCTTAGGATTGCTAAAGACCATCAGATTATTAACATTAAGGATATAGGAGAATTAGATTCTGGACAAAGTTTTAACTTTAGTGATTTATATTGTATTGAACATCTTCATCAGGTTTGCTGCTCATACTGCAGTACTTGTAAAAAAGTTGTCTGTGTGAAATGTGTGATGAAAGTTCATAACGGACATCAGTTTGTGGATGAAGAGGAATTTGTAAGTAAAAAGGAAAAGTTATGGGATGGACAAAAAAGAGTGGAGAAGAAATTAGATGAACTGTGTAAGGTAGAAATCAAATTGAAAGAGATCAAAGAATCAGAGGAATCTATGTATAGTAAATCAAAACAAGATATTCAGGATAAAGCAACAAATGATGTCGATCAGTATTATGAAATACTCATTAAATTGGAACAAAAAATGCAATCAGTAAACCAAGCAATTTATACAGAATTGAGAAACATAAACAGAGAAAAGGGAAAGCTTCAGGATGTCATTGGTGTGGTAAACCTAATAAAAAGTTCTCAAGATGTCTGTCAGTTCATTGAAAAATTTGATGAGTTGATTACTTCATTGAATTGTGACGTTGAACCATTTAAAGCAAACCTTGAATCTATATCATTCTTTAATGAAGGAGAATATATAGTGAGTAATGTTGATCAGTTTAAAACTCAAGTTTCTGAAGCAAAAATCAGTTTCAAAGTGGTTAAAGAGTACACTACAGACATAAGAAGGGTTGGAATACTAACAGTCTTAAGTGACCAAACACTGTTGATATCTGAAAATAAATCGGAAGTACTACAACATGTGAAATTAATGGGAACCAGTGTCCAAGTGATATCTAGTTTAAGTTTCAAGATATTTGGCATAGCAGTCAATTCTTTAGGTGACATACTTGAATTGTATCAACTGGTGATACAAATCTGAAAAGAGTTGATATAAAGAAAGGGGAGATAACTGTTTCTCTACACGATGTGGGCCCTTTCATGTCACGTAACATACATGTAACACAAGATCATAGAGTCATAATAGGAGCTATGTCACAAACACCAGTATTCCCTGCCACAGGCAGACGTGTTGTGATAGTCATGGATCAGAAAGGGAACCGCCAAAAGGTGTATGAACATGACAATAGCAACAAACCATTATTTACATTCCCTCGTAATATAACCAGTACAATTAATGGTAATATCTTTGTGATAGACAAACAAAATGCCAATGGTAAAGGTCCTGGTAGAGTGGTAGTGTTAGGACAGGGAGGAGGTGTCCTACAAATATATTCTGGTCATCCTAATATCAACACTGAAAACAAACCGTTCAAACCTGCAGATTTATTGACAATGTCATCAGGCAATATAATTGTTATAGATAGGCACATCAGTACAATACATATTC